GCGATCTCTGATTTGGTGCCCGATGAGCTGTGGCGCAGGCGCATTATCCCCTCCCTCCTCGTCCGTGAGCTCGTATGTGTGCGAGCCACCTGCCGGGCGAAGTCGGCTGTGGTGACGGCTGGTGTGCTGATGGAGCGCATGCAGACTTAGCTGAATGGGAAATTGTGCCAAGTGTCGACCGATTGGTTTGGCCAATAAACGATTCATCAAGGTCCATCAACTATAGAGAATGCGTAACCATAGAGACGTCTTTGTGTCTGTCGACACGCCTCAGTGACAATGTGCTCCGCCATCCACTTTATCGATGCGTTTTGATGGGGGAGTGCGTGGCTGCTCTTGACTGAGAGACATCTGCTGGCATCGAATGATGTCGGTCCATCGATATGCATATGGTCTCTCTCACTTGTTTCGGATCGTCTGATGTACATATTTATCGGCCATCTGAGCGTGCGTGTGTCTGTCGGTGCATCGCATCTCTTGCGAACCAGGAGGGCGAACACATCTGTGTGCACCCATCAGTCGGAAGGAATACCGCTGCACACCGACAGACACATGCACAACACAGTCGGCCATCGTCTCAATTGAAAATAATCTCACTGGATAAAAGGCAAGTGGACATCTGTTGAATATTGGTTGGTGCGTCGATGGATGGCTGGTGGGGTGGGGGGCTGTGCACAGCTCTCACGCACATGCCCAACCACCGACGCACGACCAATCAAGGGGCACATAGACAGAGAGTACGTACATTGAGAAGACAAAGGCAGCGTAGATAGAAGGGGGGAGAGGGGGACGACGTGCTTTGCATGCACCCCATTCATTCATACATGTATCAACAAACTCAATCGCATCCAGCCAGCCGTGCTGACGGAGCGCCTCACTGCCATCACATCACATCCACACACATGAACATACTGGACATATAGGCCTGGAATATATGTCCAACACACACGTATGGACACACGGAGGCACCGGGGCATCAGGTTTGTGGTGATGTGTCGACAAAGGCACGCGGGTGTGAGAGTCACCTCTCAGCCCGCTGCCTTCATCGACGCACCACCGACAGACGCACATAAACGAAGAGAGACTTGAAGGCCGCAGGCACGTGTCGACACAAAACAGGCAAGGCAGACAGACAGACAGACAACGCCCACCGATACACGCGGACGGTACGCACGTGAAAACATCTGTGTAGTAGGGAGAGAGGGGGCTTAGCTCAACTCGACTCCAGCTGTCTGTCTGTCTGTCTGCCTGTTCAGTCAGAGGGGCTTGGGTGTGCGGTGCGAGGTGAGGGCAATACAGACAGACAGGCAGACAGACGAACAGACGAAGTGACTGGGTGGTCGATAAGCTGGCTGTGATTCTCGCTTCCTATTTCACACACGGCCAGACGAAAGAAAGAGAAAAGACCTCAGCCCGGGCCAGCCATGTGCTTTGCACGAGGGGGCCGGGCCTGCTCTCAACAAAGTCGCCCGTCATATTAAACCTTCCCACTCGATAAAGGCCTTAAACCACTTCAATGGACACATAGGGAGAGAGAGAGAGAGAGAGAGGAGAGAAGGAGAGAGGACACACACACACACCGACGTCGTGCACACACACGGAGGCACCGCGGCATCAGGTTTGTGGTGATGTGTCGACAAAGGCACGCGGGTGTGAGAGTCACCTCTCAGCCCGCTGCCTTCATCAACGCACCACCGACAGACGCACATAAACGAAGCGAGACTTGAGGGCCGCAGGCACGTGTCGACACAAAACAGGCAAGGCAGACAGACAGACAGACAGAGTCCTGAATTCAACAGGTCGGCACACGCACACGAACGATGCAGGCAGGCAATCGGAGCAAGTGATGGGCAATGAAGGAGATCAAATCACATCAAGTGGTCATGGCTGCTGTCGGCCTGGATTGCACAAAAAGGCAATGGGGCGGGCAAAACGCAAATTCCCTCCCACTTCCTTGGGTGAGAGTCAGTGCTACTTGTATAGGTAGAGAGATATGCAGTCCCGACGGGTGGGCCCATACAAACACCATGACCCATGACTGTGGGCGCATCGGTCGGTCGCAATCCACACGTACAATACACGGACTGCTCGGCCACAGCCAGCAGATGTGAACCCATTGCCCTCCGCACACGCACCGTACCGACCTCTCCCGCCCCATCCCGTCAAATCAGCCGTCCCCTTCAGTGAACAAAACGCCAAAACAGCGAAGCAGGGGCTCTTTGTGTGTGTGGCCCCACGCCCCGTCCATCTGCCACCCACCAGCACCCACACGCTCATGTCAAAACGCCCACACAGACGGCACTCATCTGTCGTCTTCCATATGAGTGTGTGTGTGTGTGTTTTGGTTGTGTGTGTGTGCGTCAGGTGCTCTTGCTCACCCACCACACACACACAGACAGAGAAAGAAAGAAGACGGTCGACCGACCGACCGCCGGCACAGCAGCCATCCTATACAGAAAAAGAAACAAGGCAAACACGGGCACGGGCATGCGAGCAAAGGGCATGGGGTGCCTTTGCTACTCGTATAGAGCGTGCAGACAAATATGCAGATGCATACGTATGGGCACATGTGCGTTAGTTAACGCCTCGGTCCCATCAACAAAAGACACAAAGGCAGCAGGAAAAAGGCCGCAAAAGACGGCGTCAGGCTGCCATGACATGAAGGGCACCAACAGGCAGACAGGAGGAGAAAGGCAAAAGAAAGAGACAGGATGGACCGTCGATCGAGTTGGATGGACACTCATGGATGTACGTATGAGTCTGACGGCCTATGGCAACAGGCAGGCATACGGGCAAGCTGGAGGGGGGGAGGGGGCCGCATCCAAAACCCGCACCAAGGGCATCAGGCACACAACACAGCACCCGTCGATGTCCCTGCTGTCGCGTCACAGGTGCCCCTCTATGCCGTTTCCACGGCGACAGGCACACGGCAGCAAACAGAAAACCGCATCGATCCGCATCCGCACACACAGCACCCGTCCGTCTGTCCTTCCATCCATCCATCCATCCATTCATTGCACATACAGCGCTCTGTGAATGTGTGTGCACTCCATCCGCCATGACGCAACAGGCAGCCCTTCTGCAGCCTGCCTCTCCCCTCCCTCCCGTCCCAGCCACTCAGTGCCTACAAGCAAACAGGCATTTGGTGAGTGAGCAATCATGGTCTGTATAGCTATCGGTCGGGCACGTGGCTGTCATACCATCCATCCATCCATCCATCCTTGATCCCCCTTGAGTCAGGCAGACGCAGGCAGACGCGCAGAACGCCCAGCCAAGCAATCCACACCACCAAAACCAGACCCCACGTGTGTGGCGCCACGTCAACGGCCATACAGCCACACACAGACACACGGGCAGCCAGGCAGATGCGCAGTGAGTGAGTGAATGAATGAATGAGTGAGCGAGGCAGGCAGGCAGGCATACACGCACAGAGCGACTTGAGCGTTTTGATCATAAAATGGGCAAACAGAGGAAAGGCAAAAGGAAAATGGATAAAGGGCATAAGTCTTAGAGCTTATAGATCGACAAGCTGAGCTGGGGAGGGGAGGGACCCTTCACACCCATACACACACCATCAGCAGGCAACTGCACAAATGCAAAAAGGCGGCAGCACCAAAACACATAGCGAGCAGCACTCGCCTGGCCACACACACTTGCACCCACGCACACACGACACACCCACACCCAGCAGGTCCACGTCAAGTCGGGTCGGGTCGGCCGTGTGTCGCTCTCTGCGCGCATACTGTAGGTAAGTGACACTTAAACGTTTAGAAAAGCAGCAGCCCGTAGTGTAACTCTCTCTCTCTCTCACGCGCACACCGTGACACACACAGCAGGCCGATCGCACCGGCATGTCAGTCAGTGCACACCTTCCAACCCACCACTGAGCCCCACGGACAGCAAATCCCGCTCACCCACCCACCAGCCTCGCCTGACCCCTCCATCACTAACTTCCACGCACAGCCCCCCATCGCCCCCCGCAGCATAGCTCGATCGCCAGTGAGTGGTCAAGCCAGCACAACACACACCATGTCCACTGGGTGTCGAGCGATTGGCAGACACGGAGGAAGAGAGGGCCGCAGGCATGATGCACACATGGGGATGGCCTATGAGCAGCCACATTCACCATGCGCCACGCACACGGACGGCTTCGTGTGGGGCGCCTGGCCATGTGAGCACCATGCAAGCAATATCTTCGGCAGCCATACCCCCCGCTACAGCAATGAGTGAGTGAAGGAGTGAGTGAATGAGGCAGGCAGGCAGACAGCTCAACCCAGGCACACGCACAATCCACACGTACAATAGACGGACTGCTCGGCCACAGCCCTCCCAGCCAGCAGATGAGAACCCATTGCCCTCCGCACACGCACCGTACCGATCTCTCCCGCCCCATCCCGTCAAATCAGCCGTCCCCTTGAGTGAACAAAACGCCAAAACAGCGGTGCAGGGGCTCTTTGTGTGTGTGGCCCCACGGCCCGTCCATCTGCATGCCACCAGCACCCACACGCTCATGTCAAAACGCCCACACAGACGGCACTCATCTGTCGTCTTCCATATGAGTGTGTGTGTGTGTGTTTTGGTTGTGTGTGCGTCAGGTACTCTTGCTCACCCACCACACACAGACAGACAGAGAAAGAAAGAAGACGGTCGACCGACCGCCGGCACAGCAGCTCCCACCACAGCCCCACGCACCACCCGTCTGCCCACCCGCCCACGTATGCATCTACGTTACCACTGTAGCACGCCACCCACCCCCATCCCCTGGCCGTCAAATCAACCGATGGTCTTGTGGACCTTGCCCTTGGACTTGGTCTTGGATGCGGCTGCGGGTGCGGATGTGGGTGTGGGTGTGGGTGCGGGTGTGGGTGTGGGTGCGGGTGCGGGTGTGAGGGAGGAGGACAGCTGCGAGACGTCGGCAGAGGCTGCGCTGAGGGCGGGGGCGGGGGAGGGGGCGGGGGAGAGGGAGAGGGAGGGGGCCGGGACCGGTTGTGGTGGCATCGCTGCCTGTGGTGGCAGCCCTCTCCCCATCCCTCTCCCAATCCCTCTCCCCATCCCAGGGATGCCTGACCGCCGCATACCGCTGCTCTCTCGTGCTGCCTCCATGGTCATGCCAGACGCCAGCCGTTTTTTGGAATCCTCGACAGCTGCTTCGTCATACAGGACGAGGGCAGTCTCATTCTGGAAGTTGTCAATCAGCTCATCCAGTCGAGCGACCCCTACCATCGTCCTCAACCTGATGCACGCACACACAAGCACCCAAGGACAGACAGATGAACGACACACGGATGGCTACCGATCAACGGGCAGAGTATTGGTGCGTGCAGGTGGACAAGAGCTCCTTACTTCCCGAATATGATGGAGTCGGTGCCGTCGGCAGAGATGAATTTGATGCCCTCGTGTTCCATCTCCACACGCAAATCCTTCAAACGCCTGCACACGCACACACACAGTGATGTGTGTGTCTGCCCTTCCATCCCGTCCCTCTGTTGCCTACTTCGAGAGCCGCTTCCTCTGCTCGTCAGTGGCGAGGTCGTCGGGACTGAACAAAGGCGTTGATGAGGACGAAAAGGTGGGTGGGCCACCTAGGCGAATGGTGAGTGCCCCCTGCTGGCTGCCACTCGTCGCCCTCTCCAGCAATTGGGGTACGCGAAAGTTTTTTGTCCGCTGACGTCGGTGAGCTTGTAGACACCGCCCATGCCGTCCCTCTCCACCTGGTCCCAGCCGAAGTCCTCCAGCCGCACCCTGTAGTAGCCGAGGTCCTCTTGAGTCTTTTGAGTCTCTTGAGTGTTGGCATCGAGCAAGCGCTGGGCCATGCGGCTGCTCCAGGACAGGCCGATGGGGTCTTTGCTTGGTGTGTCGCTGTCGGCCCACACGGACACGATGCCGTTCTCAAAGTTGGCCGCCACCCGCAGGAAGCCGATGCTCTGGGGGGCCTGCGGGTCGCGACGGCCGGCTGCGGTGGATGCGTCCTCGCTGCCGACGGTCGGCACCGTCTGGTCCCACATTTGGTCCCTGACGAGGAAGGCCTGAAACGCTGCACAGGACACTGCACACGCACAAGTGAGGAAATTTCTCCCTTGGGTCCATCTCTCTTACTCACCCTCTAGGGTCGTGAGCCTCGGCTGGATGCCCTCCAAGGCGACCATGTATTTGCGATCCGTGCCGCGCCTGCCGTCCCTCTGGATGTAGGACGATACGGCCATCACACCATGGTCGTGTATGTGGAACATCCCATGTGCGTACGGCTCTCGGCTACCCTTGGGGGGGAAGAAGCTCATGTGTGGCCTTGACGTGACCAGCACTCGCACTCCAGAGTGCCGCACAGCGATGATGTCCTTGACGCTGGCAGTCGCGTGTGCCGACCATCCGTGGCCGCTCGCCACCTGGCTGATGACGTCCTCGCTGGAGAAGTCGTATGTGTGGGTGGGCTGGGGGACGAGGAGGGAGAGGGGGGCGGCCGCCGCCACGCCGCTGATGGCGGCAGTGCTGCTGATGCTGGTGGTCTGTGTGGGTGTGGGTGTGGGTGTGGGTGTCGGGGTCAGAGGGGACGACTGCCGACGAAGCCGAGCTGTCCACCAAGCCAGCAGCACCTGACGGCACACATCCATTGAATGGACAAGACAACATGACGGCACCCGTGCAGCGACGTGCCGGCTCTCACCTGGCTTGCTCGCCTCAGTGGTGGTGGTCGTGGTGGTTGGGACCACCGATGAGCTCGTCGACTGCTCCGTATCTGGCACAAAACGCGACCCAAATGGAATAGCACGTGTGTGGTGTGGAGCGAGGCGGTGCTCACGTTGGGGTGATGTCGACTGGCCCAACAGCCGCAGGATGTTCCCCGTCGAAATCGGCCGACCGCTGCCGATAGTGTCCCAGGTCAGCACCTTGTCGTGCATATGGACCTTCAGCCTCTCGAAGATGGTCGCCAAGACGTTGGGCAGGCCGAGCCTGACGGTCTGATAGAGGATGGCATCGCCGGTGGTGCCGCCGTTCCTGAGGTGGATGATGCCGGTCAGGTGCGGCCAGTGCAGCTGCAGCTCGTCGTCAGTCACGGGCACGGTGCGGTTGATGATGTTGAGGAGGATGGTGAGCTCGTTGTCAGCGGCGAACAGCCTCGCCGCACCACTCTCAACCACTACAAACACACACAGACACACAGCCAGGCAGGCAGGCAGGCAGACAGACAGATGGAGGGAGTGAGAGACGATGGGCGGTGTGTGTGCGCTCACCTCTGTCGAATATTTTGTCTTTGTCGTTGGGTCGACCCGTCAGCCGCCGACGGAAGGAATCACCGGTATCAGTAGCCATCCACATAGTTGTATAGCTCCCTCTCGAATGCCTCTGTCGTCAGCTGCTTCACCGATTGTTCTCCCGCTCTTCGCTGCGCCGCGAAGCTGCACATGGCGGAGAGATCGAGTGTGGGTGTGTATGTGAGAGGTGGGGGAGAGGGGCTGGTGGTCAGGGCGCTGGTGCTGGTGCTGGTGGGGGCGGTGGTGGTGCTGGTCATGGTGTCGTCGGTCTGTGTGTCGGTGAGGGAGGGGGCGAGGGGGAAGGTCGACAGGTCGAGAGCGAAGTCTGACACCACACAGATAGAAACGAAATCGTCGTGTTGGAGTGTGTTGTAATGTGTTGGTGTGGAGGGAGGGTTGTGTGTGGTCTCACCGTCGATGGCTTTGTCGAGGATGGGGGCCGTTTCGCTCATGCAGAAGCCAGCCAAGCCGTGGCCGTACTGGGTCTCGAAACACGCAATGCCGAAGACGTCCGACGTGCTGCCAAGGCAACACACGACCAACACGTCACACTGATGGATGCGTGGGGGTGCGCGTCTCGTTCCTCTTCCTTACCGGTGCATCGGCATCAGCCGCCACACAGGCAGGGGCGGGGCTAGGTGAGAGTACTGGTTGGACTCTTGTGTGCTGACCGTCTCCAAGACGGCTGACGGCCTCTCGCTCCCCCCCTCCCCTCCCTTGCTGCTGGCAGCACCCTTCTCCCGCCCATCAATCACGACAAAGCTGGCGAATCGGCCGATGTCGGCCGGCCAATCCAGCTGCTTCGACGAGACGCCTAGGACGCGCGGCACCTTGGAGATCTCGCCAGGCTCGAGCAACATGCCCACACGCACTGTCATCTTCGCCTGTTCCTCGATGGAAGTCTCGAGGGCCTCGGCACGGCTCAGCTGCTGCCACGGCACCACCACGGTCCGCACACGGAGCGCTTCGTACAGCCGGGTGGCCTGTTGCACCAGCTCCTCTGTCGCTTTGCCGGTGAGCAGCACACCCGTGTTGTGGGCGCGACCGAAGAGCATGGGCTTGAAATCGTTGATGTGCTTCATGAGGTCGTCATACTCGAGAAGGATGGTCAGTCGTCTGCTCGAGTGTGAGCGTGTCGCCGTCAGGTGGCCCTCCAGCACCAGCACCTTCCTCACGAAGATGATGATGTCCTCGCGCTGGTCACCCCTCAGCCAATAGATGCCGACCTCACAAGACGGGTGGCCTCCCACCATCCATATCGAGGAGGCCTGCGACGGGGGGAGGGGGTCAGGCGGCGCCATGAGGCGACAAAAGGTGCCCAGCGGGGCACAGGTGGCCCACGGGGTAACAAGCCGACTGCACCAGGACAGAACAACACAATACACGACAGCAGGCACCGAGATCTTTGGGGGAGGAGAGGCGTCTGCGAGCTTAGCTAAGGTTTCTCGATCCTCCTTTCCCTCCACCAAAGACACCATTGTCAAATCACGCGAGGCCTTCGCCTGCAGCACACAACATGGTGAAGGACACAATCACTGCGGAAAGCAGCAACGTCCCATCGAGGGATCAGACACATGGGAAACGGCGCTGCAGAGGGCAGCTCAGCTAGTGCGGGCTTCGGAGGCAGCCAGTCTGACCGTAGTGGCCTCTACACTCGCTCTGCAAGGCCTACAGAAGATTCAGTCGTGTCTTTAAGGCTCTTTTCCGGCAGGGCCCTGTGGAAGAAGCCATGCCGCCGAAAAGACCACCTCAAATTTGGAGGCCGTAGGCTCAGGTGGTCGAGGGCGCCCGTCTGCAGCAGCGGGGGCGCACCCTGAGCGAGGAACCTGCAGCCATGCGGCGCAGCGGAGAGAGGAGAGTGTGTCAGTGTTTCCCTCCGAGTCACTCCCAATGCTCGTCAGTCCGTACCTCGTCTGAAAGTGCGCCTCAGTAGGCTGCAGACAGCAGCCGTAGAGACCACAAGGCTGCAGGGAACACCCTCTGGAGAGGGGCAAAGGCCGTGGTGGGGCTCTCCAGCAGAGAGCCATCGGAATGGTCAATGGCAATTTGCTTCGCACTCTGCAGTGTTCTCTGTCCTTCATGGTGCCTGAGCGTATCGAACGGAGAGGAGAAAGTCTCAACGCAGCACTGCGAACTTAGCCAGCGAGCTTTGTTGCTGAGTTTGGTGATTTGGGCATTTGAAAGCTATGGGGAGGTTCGTGCAGTCGACTACGGTGACTTGAAGTGGAATCGTGCTCAACTGCGGCCCCCCGGAACGACCGATCGATTTCCTCACTCGGGCGCTGCCTTTCTCGCCTCTGGGGGTCAGTGGGGGGCTTGGGGCGACCTTCTAACGAAGTCCGGCCTTTGTGCCGTAAATGGGCACTTCTGATCGCCACTGCGAGCTGCCGCGGCCTCGTTGGAGCCTGCTGGGGCGGCGAGGGTGGCTGGAGGGGCTCTGATGAGGTGAGGGAAGGCAAATAAGGGCGAGGGGGGCAAGGATCAATGACCATACGCTGCTCTGCGTGTCTGGATGGTCTGGGGTGGCTGCTGCAGGTGGCTCTCTTGAGGTGTGTTTGCGTCCATCGACGCCGCTCAGTGGCAGGCAGCAGGCAGAGAGGCAACACAGGATGGCATATCGACGTGAGGAGACTCCCAGAGCAGAGGTACGGGCGGTCTTCTCGTCCACACACACCACTCACCCCAATCGACAGCACTGCACTCACTGTTGTAGTTGCAGGCTGATGGTTTGTATGAGATGAGTGCTGGCTGCGTCGACCAGGGCAATCAATGCGGGAGAGGATTGGTTGATGGGTTGATGGGTGGCACGGCCTGCCTCTCTTATTCCACGCCTTCCTGGTCCAGGACGACAAGAGAGCGCATGAGCGGTCGCCAGCTGCGAGCGGAGAATGCGTCCAAGTATGGCCGAGGGTGCGGAGTGCATTGCTGCGGGTGTGTAGAGGCGTCTGTGGATTGCAGCTAGCCTTGTTGGGCATTGGAGGCTGTCGAGAGAAAAGTGCGCTGTTCATTTATGGCTCTCTCATCCGGCCGGCGGGTGCGCCCTGGCGCCGCCCACACAGAGCGGCCGCTGCCTTTGCCGAGTGAGCGATGAGGACGCGCCTTTCAGCCAATCAGTAGTTCGTGGCTCCCTTTTTGTGCAGCGTTTGATGCGTTAGTGAGATGTTGAGGTCCACTTGTGGTCGCTCTAGTGAGTGGGGTGGGTGATGTGGGTGATGTGATGACGAGCAATGAGTAAAAATGGTCGGACAGTATCGGTTTGAATGAAGTCAATGACGGTGGCCGCTCAACCCAATCAATGCAGTGCACAGAGAGCGCTCCCCATGCCCACAGGCACACGGACAGGAAAAAGCGGATGGCTGGCAGGTACAAAACACATGTTCCTCAGCCGACTGCGGACACGGGCACTGGCCGGCTTCTCGGCTCTGCACAAGGGACGTGGAAGCGTCGATGGACACTCGCAATGGCTGACATTGGCAGCAGATGATCACTGAGCAGTGTCGACAGACACAGAGAAATATCACCACACCGCAAACACGCAGAAAAGAGACGTACACAGACACCTAGCAGATGACAAGCCGCGCCATCCAGCGACCACACACTAATGTGAGAGTGCCATTTGTGTGGGGAAACCTGACACTAGTGTCCCCTGCCTGCCTGCCTGCCTGCCCCGTCTGCTTGCAATTGCCATGCGAAGTCCCACACGTGTTGACAGCAGGCAGGCACAGCCGTACGTATCCATCTGCTGGGCCCCATCGCCCGACTCGACTCACTGTCAGCCAGCGGACCGCATGAGCGAATGACTGCCTGCACACTTACACCTACAGGCAGTGCACTGGAGTGCAGTGCAGTGGAGGGAGGGATGGGTGGTCATCGCGGAACCACCCATCCGCAGCTGCTCGGCGGGCCAAAAACGAAACCAACCTGACGGCGGCAAAGGGCCGACAAGCGCACAGTCTGTGTGCACACAGAGAGTGCGGGAGGGACACACGCCTGCCTGTCAGAGAGGAGGCAGCTGCTGGCAGCACACGTCAAGTGAGCGAGTGAGTGAGTGAGTGCGCTGGACGGCCGCAAAAACCACCACAAAGCAATGGCCGTCCCTGTGTGTGTATGATGGTCGGTGGCGGTCAGTGAGTGAGTGCTGTCTGTCTCTCTGCAAGTCAGTCATCAGTGTAAGGTGGACTGATCGATCAGCAGGCCAGCCAACAACACAATCAACATGCACAGGTACTGTACAGGTAAGTGGGCAGCCAGGTGTGTGTCGTGTGTGTCGTGGGTGTGTGTGTGCAGACCGATCGGCTCTCAGTCAGCAGCCGTCCGTCGGGCCACAGAAAAGAACCGCACACAGTCAGTGTCCTGTACGCCATTACATACTCGAGAAAAATCCATCCATCGATCCACCGTGAGTATCCATGCCAGCCACACTCAGTCAGTCGGGGGGACAGAAAAATACACACACATACTGTACACACACACACACACGCACAGCACCCCCTCCAGCCCAGACACTCGTCAGTCACGGCAGGCCATCATGAACGGGATACACCACGCCAGCCCACAGCTCCACCAGCAACACCAGCATCCGCACCGCCCGCTCCGCCATCGCCACCGTACGCTCGTACGGGCTGACGCTCACGATGGTCTCCGCCAGGATGGCCTTGGCGGCACTCTCGAGCGAGAAACTGTCGCCCTTCTTGCCGTGGAGCGCCTCGACGGCGGCCCTCTCGGCGGGGGTGAGCTGCAGGCTGGCCGATGGCTGCTCCGCACGCAGTGGGCCGAAGGCGGCCTCCCTGACGTCGTCCTCGACCCAGTGGTACCGCGAGAGGTTGCGGTTGACAGAAGACTTGACCCACTTGTACTCCTCAGGCTCGTCGTCTTGCTCCCCCTGGCCCTCCCCTTGCCCCGCTCCAACCTCCTCACCCGAGTCAGGCTCGTCCTCTTGCTCTTGCTCTCCCTCCTGGCCCTCCCATTGCCCCCCTCCGAAGGCGTCGGCGTCCTCCATCTGCCGCGGCCCAACGTCGCATGCGTCGGCGACGATGCTGGCAAGCTGCATGGCGCGAATGTGCCACTTGCCGGGTGTCCACTCGTCGCCGCTCGCGTCCCCGAGCCTCTGGTATTCCTCCATCATCGCCTTCATGACGAAGAATGGCGGCTTGAGGTCGTGGGCGGTGCAGCCGGACGACAGGGAGAGCATGGAGAGCGCTGTGGCTCCCATGCTCCAGTAGTCGTCCGCTGGCTGCCACCCGGGGTAGTCGAGGTAGCGCTGCGCCCACTGCCCCACAGACGGAGGCGCCTGGCCGGGGGGCGACAGCTGGTCGACGTAGGCCGTCTGGGGATTGTCGGCGGCTCCGCCGCTCCCGTGGCGGCCGTAGGACAGGTCGTTGAGGACGGCCTGCTCCATGGGCGAGGCAGAGGGCTTGCAGCC